AGTGAACACCCACCTAATTTTAACTAATTTAAGATTTGAGTTTTGAGAATAATGTTTACCAATATAGACATGTTAGATATGTCTATATGGAAAGCTTAGATTTTCCACAATTCCACCACCAGGTTTATTTTATGGACCCAATGAGCACCAAAGCACAGTTAACACAGATATAGCAGCATGTCAAAATGTAAACGAACAAAGCAGCCACAACTACATAATTTTGAAGGCATCCAGAAGCTGTTTTATAAATCCGATTTTCAATTGCTTATACTCCATTCGTCCATAAGGGTCCACAGATTAAAAGTAATCCAGCATATTCATCATAAGAATATTCCATGATGACAAAATCGCCCATTACCTCTGGTTGTTGAAATCAGAAAAGTTAGCTGGTCATAGTTGATGCTCAGCATCTTGCTAATATTTACGTCCTAATGCTTATTTCCTAGGTTGTTAGCCGGCGATGTGTGCTATGTTTTTTAACATCGTCTTCTTATCTACAAGACAAAAGTGTCTTCATCTTTGTATGATGCGATTTGAGCCAGATACGGTCCCTGAAATCTCACTTCCAGTCACTTCCCGTCAGCCAGTGACGCACCAAGTAGCTCAATATTATGCCTCATACAGTCCTTTGGGCTTTGTAACTTATGAAATAAGGTTTCAAACAACCCTACACATGGTGTAGTCACCCTACACATGTGTAGGGTGCACCGCTCCAGGTTGAGTGATGACAGCGGTCCTATTCTTTTTTTAAGTTTGAATGCTGATTTTCTTTTATTACAATGCCTATGGCTAAAAAAATAAAATATAGCTTAGAAAAGGCACTGGGGCTTATTTTAGCTTAAAAAGCAGCAGTTTCACTATCTTTTACAGATTTTTATGTTATTATAGTTGTGTATATGGTGTAATTATATGAAAAAAAAAAAAAAGAACTATGAACTAGTTCATTTTTTTGGAACTGTGAACTTAGTTCAAAATTTTGAATTATGAACTAAACTAGTTCATTTTAAAATGTGTGAACTGAACTTTGAACTAGTTCACGTAGAAAGAGAACTTTCCCAACACTGCTTGTTTTAGTAATTTCATATTAATTTATTTGGCTCTAGAAACAAACATTGCGTGTGGATCTCACAGCAGCCAGACTTTATGAGGAATAATGTTAGGGGAAGCAGGCATAAAGATGGCAGCAGAGACGGGGTGTCCTTGTGATGCTTCGAGGACTGTCCTGGAATCAAATCTCAAACAAAATTGATGGGGACACTTTTATTTGTAGGCTTGAAGGTGATAAAACTAAAAATCCCCAAAATCAACTGGAAATGTTTTGAAGCTAGGGTAAGGATCAAACTTCTGATGGTAAAAAATGACTTTATGCAGCAATTTCTCATTATCAAATGTTTTTTATTAAAAATATGCTGAATTACTTTTTATCTGTAGACCCTTACAGATATAAACAATATAAGATTCAATTTAATACGGCTTCAGGATCGCTTAAAAGGTAGGAAGTTGAAGCTTTATTTTAAAAATTGTGATTTAACATGCTGCTATATCTTTATTAATTGTGCTTTAGTGCTCATGGTGTCCATGAAATGAACTTGGCAGTTGGTTGTGTAGAATCTAAGCTTTCTAAAGATGTATAATATGTCCATACTGGTAAAAGTGAAACTGGTGTTATTTTCAAGCATACTGCTGTGCTTAATGTAAATATACAAAACTGGTTGCTGGCAAACCGGTAGAGCAGTTTGGAGGTTTTGTTAAAGAGAAAAGGCCATTATATGAAAACATAGTTTCTGTTGGTTCTATGCTTTACTTTTTAAAAATTGTTCCTTTTGACGCATTGTTCCCAGATGTTTTAGACTTAAAACGCATGCATCTTACTTTTCACACAACAAAAAAAAACTCTTTATCTCTCATAAAGAGTCTTAGCATGGAAACATTTGGCTCCTCTTGCCACCTCTGACCAATGCTCTGACATTTTCAAGGAAAGGGCGACACCCCAGTTTAAGTTCTCTCAGACATTCAGTTTCTCTCAATGTTGATCATACATTGATCATAAATCTATCATAAGCATCAAGTATAGTAGTATAGTTCATGCTCACACTGGTGAACCTTAAAGGCACACCATGGACTTCGTGACCCAAAGAGTTGACACATAAGTTATTTTAAATGATTCCCCTTGCCAATATACATCACTTGACACTATCAATGCTACAAGTGGGGCTACCCTCTTGAAATACCACCTATTTAAATTGGGAGAAAATGCACTGCCGTTGGCCAGGTCCTGTGACCTGGGAGAAAAATTGTTTTACGGCCTTAGGCCATAATATAGTCGTAGAGCTAAAGCTTATGCTCTACTATTTTTCAATCTGCTCTACTACTGTTCATGGCTGAGGCAAAGAAAAATGTTTAAACCTTTTGAGGAGGTCAAAAAGAGGATACTGGAAAGGGATCATGTGCGAGGAAAAATGAGAGTTGATCTTGGAAAGGAGTTTGTTTGTTGACGCAGGCTGAAAGAAGAAGCCAGCTGTAAACCCGATTCTCTTTCCGCAACTTTATTATCATACTGGAAAGTTAACACTCTTCTAGGGTAGCTCATTACTTGTGTGTGAAAAAGAAATGGTTGTTCTCAAGGCTAGATAAACAAACTTAAGAGAAAGACCAGTCTAATCTTCTTAGACACAATCTAATCTTTGGAGAGCAGTCTTATATTGAGGATGGAGCAATGGTTGCAAAGGTGCAAAACATTTTGGATATCCTAAAGAGCATATGATCTAATTCATTCACTGACCTCTCAAAAAAGAAAAAAAAAGGATCTGAGTTCTACCAAACATTTTACGTACCTCTAAAGATGACCTATGCTCTCCCTGTGACTGTTACATCTACAGAGCACAGCTTTCCCAAACTCAAATAAACAAATAATTACTTGAGATCTTCTCTGGGAGAAGAGTGACAGAGTGAGCTGTTCATGCTTAGTTTGAAAAAAGAATTTGGCTTTTAGTCACAGTGATGTTATCAGTGGCTTTGCAAACAGAAAATACAGGAAGCACTGGTTTTTTAAGTACCGTAATTAACTCAGAAAGAACAGAGTTTCATAAAAAAAGGAAGGTGTGCCAGTAAAGGTAGTCCATATTTAAAAAAGAAAAAAAAAAAGAGCTTTAGGATATATTTACTACTCTTTAAGAGCTAAATGTTCAAATTTGAATTTTATTTATTTATCTGGATTAGGTACTTCTGTTTGTGTTATTTAAGTACATGCTTGATAATTTATTGGTTATTTGATTTAATCATGTCTGCTTCTGTATAATGTAACTTTCTATTATCAAAGCTATTTTTAGTTGTTCTTCTTGCGCTACAGTTTAATAACATGACACTTACTGTAAGTAAACTAATTACTACATTAATCATTTAGTGTAATAAGACAAATGAGAAGCACTGCAATACGCTTTTAGTAGGTGCATTAAGTTTAAAGTAGGTGGTAATGATTTTTATCATCTGCCTGTTTATTGCAGAATTCGACTTCAATAGCAGAAGTAGAAGGTCCTCAAATCAAATGTTGCTTAGGACCCTATAGGGGCTTGAGCTGGTTGTGGTTAGATGACAGATTTTCTGAAATCCAAGTTACAAAAAAAAATATGCCACAAAATAAAACTAATCAAATACTGGAGGAATAGTTGAACTTTTCCACCTTAGAAAACAACAAACAACTTCAGTTGTTTTCGATTCAACACATTGATTCCTGTAAAATTATAACTCTTAAACATATTTAAGCAAATATTTTATTTACTTTTTAAGTACCTGGCCCTTTTAAAATAGCTTACTGTAAGCGTGTTTTACTTGATTTTAAATTAAAATGTTTGAGTGTAAACTTAAAGCCAGACTCTGATGAATAAAATGACCCAGCTTTCCACTGTGGCTTAAACGCACCAGGTAAGCAGGATCTTCTTGCTTATCCAAATAAAGGTACTCTTAAACCAGTCGTGTAAAGCCGACATTTTTAGTTCATCCATGAGTGGAATAAAAACGTGTCCAGTTTTAATCTTGATCTAATTATTCTACACATACATTTCTTGTTTTTTAATTGCATTTGAACAGCGTTTAGCAAGTAAGTCTACCTCTATGTTAACATAAAGTGCTTTTTATGGGTTTGCTCAAATTGTTTTATACATACAATTATTTAAAGCAATTATAACTTATGCATATTTTAGAAAATATTCCAAAAATTCAACACGTACTAATCATAAGTGAGTTGTAATGTAGGATAATGAATATTTTTTTTTAAAACAAAATAACGATGAGGCTTTTTAACTAAAACAAACCCAAATATTCACATCTTTCACGTTGACAATGTTGAGTTTTCAAAAACAAGCATAAGAGATACTAGAGCAGAGTTTGACATTGGAAACTTCAGCAGGTATTTGAAGAAGCGCTTCCTCGGGTGCGGGTGGATGCGTGAGCTCGCACGCCCAAATACACGATAGATAACGAAATAAATACCTTTGCGTTTTTTTGTTTATTATTATCATCGTTATCATTTACTTTAATTATACTTTGCTGAGATTGAATGTGATGCCCGTGGTCTTGTATGCGCTAATCAAGCGAGAAAATGTGAGAAATTTAATTCCAAGTTACATTGAAAATGTAAATATAGTTTAAATTAATGAAAAGCATCCTACATCATAAAACCCTATTAATGTTCAAGATAAAGTGTTTCATTATTAAAAGGAGGTTAAAGGTAGAGGTATATCTTTTTGCGAACTAAAATCTGCAGCGGTTTCAATCAACCAGGAAGTAAACTTTTATTTTAAGAAAACCAAAATTGACAAATAAAAAAAAAAAAAAAACAATAAATAAACCTAAATAGGTAGACTTCATACGGTCAGCAGAAAGTCTGAAATTAGTATCGAAATGAGTCGTTTGCGCTTCTTCGCCTTCACACCCTTTTTACACAATATTAACAAGATATTATTATATTTAATATAAAAAAATACAAAAAAACTCAAACTCACCTGTCAGGCTGCGTGTTTGCTAATAAACAAATCCCAAAGGAGGGCAGAAAATAAATAAATAAATATAGCTGAATGGTGTAACATAGACGCAAACGGATCTGCTCTTGTCTTCCCAACCTATGGGTGCCACATGCATCTATGATCCCTCCCTCGCATTGCTTATTGTTTAGAAAGCAACAAGTAGCATCAAGTATTTCCTGCTGAAAGTATGATTTCATAGTTAGCTTTAATTGATGAAATACAAAATCGAATCAACAATCTCTTAAGCCTTATAAAAAAAAATATATGAAGATATATATATATAAAAAAAATATATNTATATATATATATATATATATATATATATATATATATATATATATATATATATTTCTCCCATTGCCCTCATTTTTTTCTAAAGGGTACTATTTATGATTAAACTATCAAATTATTAGTGAGAAATAGTTCTGCAGGGCCACAGCCAGGGATTTAGTTTCCCATGAAAAGAAATCTGTTATTGGTGCTGACACAGTGGCGTCTCCAGGAATATCTCAAAGGGGCGACCAGATGGGGCCAGATGAGGATTACTAACCAGTAACACCAGAGTTAACATTTTGAGTTATACAGTTATTGCTTTTTTTTGAGTTGTACATTTATTTATTTACTGGAAAAAAAAAGGCTGGGGAAAAGCAGCTAATGAGAGATAAAAAATAAAATCAAGTACAGAAACAATATCTTTTTTTTATGCAACAGGAATTTCTTAACAAGTAACAATAGTCTTATTCTGATTACAAGGTCATATTGTATGTGTAATAGGGGTGGAACGGTTCACAAAATCCACGGTTCGGTTCAGTTCATGGTTTTCAGTTCGGTTTGGTATATGTTGATTGTTAGCCTGACATGTTGGTCGTGTTGCTGTTAGCATAAACAAAACGTGTTGCACGATGCTTGCACACTGTTGCACTTTTATCCACAACTTTATTTCCGCCGTCATCGTAGGTCACTCTAAATGCAAAGTGGTCCCATACAGCAGACCTATAAAGTGCTGCTGGCGCGTCTTCTAACTCCTGTTCTTTCCCACTCACCATACCCACACAATTCTCCACAACAACTGATTTTTTTCTGCTACACCCGGCTACGCTGCTTCGCTTCTTCTTCTGGTTTACTACTGATGGTTGGCTTTGGTCGCAGTACCGCCACCTTCTGCTCTGGAGTGTACACGCTTCGCCTATGAGAAAAAGGAGCAGCGCATGAGTCGAACGCAACACACACGAATCGAACCGAGACAGTCGAACCAAACGGTTCGGACGGTTTTCATAAACCGTTCCATCCCTAATGTGTAAGCAACATTTATACCTTTATGGTTTTTTTTTCTAACAAAGATCCATGGTCTCCAATTCTGATAATCAGGCTTCCGAACAGCTTTATTTGCATGTTGCTATGCTTTTTTTTTGGTAAACACATCCACAAAGTAATCAAGGTTTATGGCCCTGGCCCTTCTTGATTCTGCACTTAGCACACCCAAATTGCTTAAACACTCATCAGTCATGGTTCTTCTCAAGGCAGTTTTGATTAAATTTAACACAGAAAAGCTATGCTCACAGGTTGCAGTGCTCACAGGTAAAGCAAGTGCAATTTTGAACAGTTTAAACATATGGTGAAAGCAGTGTTGTTAGATTTAGTATTTGTCTTCAGGACGAAAACTATGATTAGTTTTAGAAGCATTTTAGTCATCACACAAAAGCTGTAAAAATAGCAGATCTAGTTCAACATATCATATTGATTAATATAGCAGACTGACAAGCAAAAAAAAAAAAAAACAATGTAAAATGAAGGAAACAAAAGCATTCTTCTTTATACCTTGGGAATTTTGGCTTTATTTGAGTTTTGAATTTTGAACTCAAATAAACAAAGAATTACTAGAGTGCATTGTCGGTGCTCAGTATAAAAACAAAGTCACAGTGATGTTATCAGTGGCTTTGCAAACAGAAAAGACAGGAAGCACAGGTTTTTGGGTAATCCACGCCTATTTTGCATACCCAAATGGAAAAGCAAATAACTTAGGAACTGAAAGCCCAAAAAATTGGTTGTAAAACACAGACCAAGCTGCATCACTACGTTCAAACATGACTCAAAGTTGTTGTTTTTTTAATCTCGGAAATGATGGGTCTTTTTTGAACAGCAGTCATAAACACCTTGTTGAGAAAACGCAGGTCTCATTGTATTACATTTGTTGTACATCATGTCAACCAAGAATTTCAGACCTCTAGCTCTAACATTTCCAAAGCTGTGGGGTTTTGAACTTTTGGTGTCAGCTTAGATCTGTGCGCAATGGCTCCACCTGCTGATGTCTGTGTTTCTCTCTAAAACAACCCTGCAATGCGGTACCCCTTAAATAAACTATACACATTTGGGCTTGTTTAAAACCTTATTTAATTGGCTACAAAGCCCAATACCCCACATGGTCATAACCAATAACAACAGAGATTAAAATGTCAATCATAACGCCCGTCACCGGCTGACAGGAAGTGAACCTGAAGTGAATCGGAGGTGAGTTTTCAAAAGCTGAGTCTCAATTCGCAGGCTGTGTCACGCAACCTGCGAATTGAGCTAATAACTTCTGTTTTGTCTGCATTCAGGCGCAGAAAGTTAAGAGTCATCCAGGTTTTTATGTCTTCAAGACATGCCTGTAATCTATGCAATGGGTTAGCTTCATCTGGATTTAGACAGATATACAGTAGCTGAGTATCATCAGCATACCATTGAAAATTAATCCCATGCTTTCTAATAATTCTACCAATTAAGAGCATATATATATATAGTAAAGAGAACTGATCCAAGCACTAATCCTGTAATGATCTGGCCTGATTGCTCTACCTTAATTGATTATTTCTTTCCCCTGCCGTTTTCCCTCCCTGCCACAATGATCATTTATTCCTCTCACCTGTTTCCTTTGATTCATATTCTTTTCAGCCTGAGCATTCTGGGCCAGATCATTATTTCTTTTCTGTTTGCCTGTCTGTTCAGTTCCTCCCGTGCTGAGTCCTCTGGGTTTTTGGGTCTGTACGCGGGGAGGATCCGTTTTTATGCCAGTAAGCCTGGCTCCAAGGTGGAGACCAGTTTAAAGGTCCTGCTCATGTTCTGGTTCCACGTCCTGTCTCGGCTACCCTCTTCCACTGAGCCTGCCCGTCTGCACCTGATTCTGTCTGCTCCTGTGCGTGTCCGCCTGGTCACACTTCTGGACTCTGAGCCTGCCTGGGAGCTCTAGGATGCCTGGACGCCTGTATCCTGCCTGTCCTGTCTTTTCCTGACACTCTCGGTGACGCGCTGTGTCAGCTGTCAGCCCATGGGCTGGATCGCTTCCCCTTCAAGGGTGATGGACTGGACAGTTGAACCAGGTAAGTGACTCACTAAGATCATCATCTTCTGTCAGATTATCACAGTCACTTTCTTGTGTTTCTCCTGCAGAGTGTCTGTGATTGGGCGGTGCCCCGCCCCCCTCCTGCCTCATCCGCGAGACACAGATCATAGCAGCTCCACTTTAGTTTTGTTTTTTCATTTAATAAACGTTTTGAACTTTCCTACTGACTGTCTCACCTTGAATACTGGCTCTGTCCCGTTTATGACGGAATGATCTGGCTAAAAAAGGACCCATCGGGGGACAGTCAGTAGGATACGTTTTTTTTGTTTGTTTTCGGATTGGTTCTGACATGTGGAAGATTTTGTTTCTTATTCTGTGATCGGGTCTGTTCTCCTGCTGTCAGAAGCCCTTGTTCGTTTTGTTTTTCAGTAATCTGTGTCTGGTCTTGACCCCCCCACCTGCCCTGCTTGGTTTCCTTTTTTTCCCGTACTGTTTGGTCTGGTTTCGGCGTCTGAAATCCGCCCTTGAGGGGAAGGCTCTGTCATGATCTGCTGTGATACCTGGCCTTAATAGTCATGCCTTTCACCTGCTTTACTCATTCTAGCTCCTAATCATCACTCATTTCATCCACCTGTCAGTTTCCCTTATATTGGGCTCAGTTCCAGCTATCATAGCAAGATCATTAGATGTTTTTGTCTGTTCAGTCTGTTTGAGTTCTCATTATTTACTCCTGACTCAACAACCCAGGAGAACAAAGAGAGGCTATTTGATTTGCATCTTATTTGGGATGTGTGCAGAAGGATGGGCTTCCATGCTGCTTAAATACATCAGGGCTCCAATTACAGATTGCACGGGTGCAGTAGTAAATGCCATCTATGCTTCCAATTATACCTGGAAACCCCAAAATATATTAAACTTTTCCATACTTTTCAAAATTTGATACAAGCTAAATAATTGCTTTTAATTAAACTTTAGTTCAGTGGAATTTTTATTTTAATGTGGATTTGTGACAAGGGGTGGGGATTTAAAGAATTTAATTGCTCAACAAAAGTTTTTTGTGCTTCCTGGTCTGCAAATTAATGTTGTAAATTATAAAACAGGTAAACCTCAGCTATTCAATTATAAAGGAAAAAGATTTTCTGATTGCTCCAATCTCAATCTAGACTTGAGGGACCATCCTGCACAGCAGGTAAGGACACGCTTCGCTCTACTAACATAAAAAGGTGACATTGTTCATAATTTGCCATTGACTTCATATCTGTGTGGGCTTTACTATAACAGCTTAGAACTAAATTCCTAAAAGTTTACCTTTAGCAAAAAAAGCAGCATTCAGACGTTTCCTCATTTTGTCCAATGAGTGATATGCAGCTAAAATTCTATGAGATAAATTACTGACTTCTATAAAAATATTGAAGCTAAAAAATATGTGAATTTGGAATTAAAAATGCTTCTAATTGCATGAAGCATAATGAGCATTTTCTCTCCAACTTCCACAGGCTAAAAGACACTTGTCTTGTCTTAACTTGTCTTCATGTAACAAATATCTTCCTTTCTGAAACTAAAAGTCCTACATTATGCAAGGATTTACCACAGAGTTCTCATGTACCCTACCTTTTCAAACATGGCCTAGATGGATTTGAACTCTGTGTTCTTGCTATGGTAATGTAAAGAGCCAGCGTGCTCTTTTTTTCCAGAAGTAAACATGGATGGTAGAGCTGGAGCGCATCTAGCGGTCTTTTCCAATCATAAAAACACAATCTTTTCAATATGGTTAAACATAAAT